ATATTAATTCTATTATGCATCAAATTACAAAACGTTTCATGATATATATTTAAATTTCGCATTATCTTTGATTTTTATTGTTTTAAATTTTTATTAGCGATCTTGAACGGCGGCAATAAATTCCTCCGTTCACATATATTTTTGGTATAATTTCAATCTGGCCGTTCCAGTCATTCCAATTGCAAAACGTCAAACCCTACTCAATCCAGTCAACTGTCAAAGTTCGATAGGTTTTGACGTTTAGCAACTTCCAGTGAGAGAGGAGTTGGGCATCCCATTATCCCTGCATGTAAGTATTAAGCTGAAAGTAAAGTTGTTAGATAAGTTCCTTTTGRTATGGCTTTTTCTTCTAAAAATGTTTTGGACACATCAAGTTGTGAATTATATTCAACGTCTATTTCATTTATTATAGCTTCTTCGTCAATATTACAATCTTCGCTGTCAATAATAAAATTGAGAAGCACCATACAAGCCATTATTATGAGTTTTGCCATAACTAAGTTCTGGATTTCAAGATAACTAAGAATCCGATTCATTTTTTTTTTTTTTTTCAAAATAGCCAAAGCCTGCTTTATGAAGACTCTTGTTGAACTTAGCACATAGTTGAATATTTTTTGTTCTTGTGTAAGATAGCCATTACCTTTGTATGGTATTATTAAAAAAGTCTCTAAAGGGTAAGCATCGTCTCCCAATAAGTGACATTTTACCGAAATTTTAAGCGTCTTGTTTATGATAACTTGTCGCATTGGGCTGTTGCGCCATATGGATGCATCACGACACCGTCCTGGATATCCAACGAATACATCAGTAAAACGAATTTTGGTATGCGCTATTGCCTACATATATATATTGAAGTTACATTTTAGTGTTAAATATAAAGATGAAGAAGATAATACTTGCCTGTACAACAAATGAATATTGTCCTTTTCTATTGTAATACGCACGACTAGACCCAAACTGCTCCATAGTAGCTGGTTGGCTTTGGTCGATTGCTGGAAATTTTATTAACTCTGCTTTTAATCGACTAATTGCTTTTATTCTACGAATAAAGTTGTAATATGCAGTACCAATACTTAAGTGAAAATGATCACTTAATTCACGAGAACTGTTTTGGTTGCTATATTTCCATTGAGTTATGTACATAAATCTTTCTAACGATAAGCACGGCCGATCAGTTGGAGGTTAATGGCTTTAACATAGTTTGAAGCTATTGTGAATGTATTTTTGTAAAATATACAAAACTTATGCTTATATACATATGTATGTACATATTGTATGTATAGTTACCTTACACCTGGAAGGTTTCATCATTTGGCATTTCGATAATAGTTTTCCAGAATCCCGAATTTTTAGGCAACTTTCTTCTAATGTATATAATGATAAAAAATTATTATATTTGAAATTATTTAAAATGTACACTCTTTTATGTTTTTATTTAAATATTTTACAAAAAATTTGAATGTTGTTTGTGCTTTTTTTTCTGAGAAACGCAAAAAACGTTTACAATTGCACTCTTGGCTATATTTTGATCCATTTTGATATTTTTGCGCTCGTTGAATTAAAATTTCTAAAACASCTTTTTGCGAATATAAACTTTGGAGTAAAAGTGTTGCAAAACGTCAAAATACACAATGCGTAGTAATATGATGTTATTTAACGTTGCATACAGATGATGTATAAATACTGCAGTAAAAGAACTTCAAAACTTTACAGTAGTTCGTTTTCGAAGTCAGCCATTCTTATGTAAGAAGACAAAATAGAGAAAACTCAGGCAGTTGCTCGCGAGAACTTAGCGTAGTAATTAATTTACATGTATACCGATCGTCCATAAATTATATGCATAGTAAATAAGCGAATCTGTAAGCTTACTCGGAGATCGGAAATATCATTATTTTTCTCATTTAACACCGAAAATTCTCAATTCTGCTATTTTCGAGTCCCATGATGGAAAACTGTGGTTAAACATGCTAGTTTGTAAGAATGCATGCGAATTGGTATACATATTCTTAATTCTACCGATACTTAATCTGCACACTTCTCGCTTCAACAGCAGCAACCACCAATCTCGTCCTGCAACAGTAAGCAGTATAACCTGCCTCAATCTTCTACACTCTTATTTCAGTAATGGCGCACAGAAAACGATAACACAATATATATATTTTATAATCCCGCACCACCACAATAAAGAATACCACTTTAGTTTTAATTTTAATCTTCCTTTTAATTTTCTTCTTTCCTTCAGGTCTTGTCACACCGGCGTCATAAAAATTAATGAATAAAATACAAGAAATTCAAACCTAGCATTTAACAGAATATGTAAACTTAACATCCTAACGGAGTTTTGCATGAATATTGTATTTTACTTATGAAATTCAAACTAATTATTGCATCATCCAATGTTTGCCAATATTGGTATAACATAGCTTCACATTCATGGGTTGCCATGTTTCTTCAATTTAGAGATTCACATGCATGGATTGTCAACACGTATATAGTCAATTTGGACTTGCATATTTAATAATTTTATTTGATTTTTTTAGGTTTTTACTTCAAAATAAATATTTTTGAATTATATTGCTAGATATAGAAATTAAATTTATTACAACATATACGCATACATCTTCCATCATATTAATCTTATACACTCGTGTATGTATCTGCATATACTCATATGAATGCATGTATAAGCCTGTGCGCATTCATATATACTATTACATGTG